CAAAGCTGTGAGTGGAGCTCTGAGATACACTCACAGATCCTCTGAAACTGCAAATTACCTTCATTATTATTTACACTTGAATTAGCCCTGAGAATCAATACTCTGGTTACAGCTGTGCCTCAGGGTTCCCTTATCCTCGCTAATCACACACACCTGCTGAACCTGCTCACCTGCTGTCCAACTTAGTTTTTGCAGCTTTTTAAGATTCATACAACGTCCAACAGTGAACAGTATTTTTGAAAACAGATTTTTTTTCCCTGTTAGGAAAATAAAAATCCACATCAGAGGAGTATTGTTCACATGATAATGTGGAAATCAGGCCAGGTGATGATGTGTGGTCAGTCTTTCATATCAAAACAGAACAAACTAGAAAAGCACTCGGAGAGCGCACACCTCCGCCAAGCAACTCATGTCCCCCCTTATATTGTGATTCACACCAAAACTTTTACTGTTACGTGTCTTTTATTATTAACTTTTATTTGTGTTTAAACTGGTTTGTTCACTGTTCATAATGTTCCTAAAACAACAAAGCTCATATTAGATACATAAATGCATGATTTATTATGAAATATTTGTAAGCGTACACTTCCTTGTATCTTCATTGGTTATCTTTCAGCATTGAAAATTCCAACGACACCCTTATTTTTGTGTGTTCTGGATCACAGTATCCAGAATTTTGTCTGGATCAGGATCAACCTTTGACACCTCATAAAACTCATTGAGATCCTTTTGTGTACTTTTTTACTAAAGACTCAGGCCATTTTTATAGAGTTAAATGCAAAAAATCCAAAATTTACCCTATCTCACAATGATAAAGAATCCTTCAAAAAATTCCTGGATCCAGAAGGTGATCCGGATCACCACCAAAATGTAATGGGATCCTCCTGGGGCTGAGACGCACCTCTGGTGAAAATTTCAGGTGAATCCGTCTGTAACTTTCTCCGTAAAGTTGCTAACAGACAAACAAACAAACCAACGCTACCGAAAACATAACCTCCTTGGCAAAGGTAAAGAGCAGTAAGCAGCAGTTGTAAGGCCCTGTTTAGGTGGTGAATCAAAAACTACTGCATGTGCTTACTCATCCCCACTCTGGACTATAATGGTAAACAATGCGAGGTTACCCTGTAAGCATTCACCTGCAGACCGACACAAACTCATAGCTCCCTGATCTTGGCATGTTCAATACATGTTAATGACACAAACATGCATCAGGTCCACCAGGGTTTCACATAAATTGTGTTTTGCTGCACATGCAACAATGTTTGGACAAAGTTTTAAAAAATCCCCCCACTTCATAAGAGTTTCCCGAAGTGTCTGTTTTTAGTGAGCTAAGACTCAGTTTACATGTGGATGGGAAGTTAAAACACAGAAAGAAAACTAGGTTTGCAAACTCTCTGCATACTGTAAATAGGGCTGTAACCATGGTTTAGAGATTTATTCATTGTCTAATCTTTTTTGCCCTTTATGGTCTTTGTATTATTTCCGTCAATGGAAAATGAGCTTATGTTAGACTAATTTTCACCATTTAAAAAATCAGCACTGTTTAAGTAAAAGCAACTTCTCTCTCTTATTGCTAAGTGTAGCAGACTGCAGCTGTATGTGAGCTGCTGTTATCCTTTAATTCAGTAAATCCCTGGAATCATTTTTCTGTGTTTTGTGGCCACAATTACATTTTCTAACCTGTGCCATCAAGCAGCTTGGGATCTCCCCTGCTTTCCAGTTAGTACAGAAGTTTCTCTCCTTTTCCCTTAAGTTTGTTTGTTTTATTCTTCCTCTGTTATTGCAGGCTTATTTTCAGCTTTTTGCCTTCTATTCGGAGAGGACATGACAGTGGACAGGGCAGGAAAAAGGGAGACAGAGTGAGGAGTGACATGTGGTAAAGGGGCCAAGGGCTGGAGATGAACCCAGGCTGGCCGCTTGAGGCATAACCTCCATAAGCTAGTGGTGGCACCAACAGTGTGTCATTATTGCGGTCAGAATCACCCAATATTTACTTTGGCTGTATTTCTGGTCTTTGAGGCCTTCAGACTAGAATAGCAGATCAGTAAGCTGCAGGCAGATGATCACATCTGTGTAACAACCAGAATAATACAAAAATGAAACAGGATTTCTAAAAGCAGGGAGAGAGCTGAAACGTTTCCAAAGAGAGCAACACTTACATTGACAAAAGAGCTAAGGTTGGAGATTGTTCAAATAAGCAAAGTTAAGAGCTACAATTGACCTTGTCAACAACATTTCAATGGCCTAGCTTCTGTTCTTGTTCACAAGCCATTTCTCATCAAAAAGGCTGACTGGCGTCTCTTTGGAGAGGTCACTGACTGATGCCGAGCTGCCAGCCAGAGTCTGCTTCTGACAAAAATTTTGACTAGTGTCCCTACAAAGGAGCTGACTCAGCTCAACCTCTTTAGGCCAACCAATGTCGAGTAATGTACAACAATGTGCAGCAATGAGAGTCAAGCAGCCAATGGGATTTTGATGCAAGGTTTTTTGTACATGGAAAAGTGTGGAAAAATGGACTTTTTGCTTGCTAGCAGAGGTTGGTATGACACTGCAGACAGACTGTGCCTCCTCTGGATGAGCTCTCTGTGATGAGTTTGCACTATTTTGTTTGAGGGGCACATATGTGTCTGTGTGTGTGTGTGTGTGAGAGAGATATGTGTTAGAAGCAGACAGATGATTTTTAGGTGCAGGTCGCCATGCCGCGTCAATATGACACCAACTCTAAAAAAGTAACTTTCTTTAACCTCGCTTAGAAAAAACTGAACTATCCCTTTAACTGTCTCCACACACCAAGCGCAAATGAATTACTTGTTAAGTCAATGCAAAGACTCGATTAGATGCTCCCACTACTCTGGCGGCGCAAATTACGCAAATTGGGTGGGTGCTGAAAATGTCTCAACTTGAGCGGATGTTCACCAATAAGCACGAAGGTTGCCAGGTGACATATGCAAATGGACAGTTGTTTACTAGTATCTAAAATGGAGAACAAACTGATCATGTCAGTGTGTGGGTGCCTCAAATTATATGATACCTTTTCTTTTAATTACCGAAACCGAAATAAAAAGGAGCTCACCTGGAGGAAAGTGAGTGAGGAGGTCGGATTACCTGGTAAATTGTAAAAAACCTTTATCTATTACTTGATCCCATTGGTTGAATTGGCAGGGGTTGCCTTTGAAATTACCGTTGACGCAAGAATGAAGTGAGTAAATACTATTCATTCATGCGTCTAGATTCGTGCTAATTAAGGGAGTAGATGATTTTACTCACACTGGGTATGAGACCCCCATGATACTGTTGACAAACAGCTGCCACATGGTTGCACCTGGTGTATACGCACCACTATGTGCATGTCCGCACTGTCTTAACGTGAAAATACTGGAGGTTGTGGATGCTCTGCAGGTTATTGATCGCTACAGCTCAGATCATTTCTCTCCCACCTGCCCAACTACCTGCCTGTCAACATTGTGATGCAGCCTTTATTGTCATACTTACACCCTGAACATCAATCTATTGATAAATCATCTGTGGCATTGCTCATCACTTTTACCCTATGCTTTCAATGCACTGTAAATTTCTTGTTGATTTCATCGGAAATGCACAAAAGGCTCATCGACAGTGCAGGTCTTGTGAGGAGTTTCAGAATTGTTTTGACATTTTTGCTAATTAAGAAGTTCTGAAAATAAAACTCAGAGAAATGAGCAAAGACTGAAAAAGTACAGAAGAACCTTCCAAAGTCTCTCAGAAGAAAGTTTTAAAAATGTCACGCCAGAATCCGAAACAGCCAAAACTTCATTTGAAATGTCAAAATTCGCTTTTATTTTTTTTTCTGGTGGTTACACAAAGTTCAGGATGGATTTTTTTTTTTTTTTGCTCAGAGTGGCATACACAAAAGCAGAACTCCCCAAAAACATGATAACGGAGGGTTTACAATCATCTGTCTGGTCATTGTTTTCTCAGATAAACTTTTTTTTTCCTCTCTGACCCCCTTTTGTCAAGCTGCGAGTTGTTTGGAAGATTGTTATGTCAAGCAGAATAGGAAAAGAAGCACACCATACACAGGGATTAATATCACAGAGCTTTCTGGAGTTGAAAAGACAGCTATTCTCTGTATGTAAATTGGACGGCTGGCTAAAGAAGACAAGCTCCGTTTCCAAATGTCACTTCATCGAGCTGCAGTGCGCCAGAAAGCAATAAATAATTCTCAAAATGAAAGAAAGCAGCCTGAAAAGATTGTGTCGTTTTTATTAAGAATATCCAAAGCAATACTTTATTGTTATTAAAACCTTCTGGTCCATAGACAGCCGCTCATATCCTTCTGAAGAGCTGTTTTAATATCCTTATAATTTAATATCCTCAGCAGGATTCATTTTTATCTCTGGGTCTGACACTGCTCTCTGTATCTTCCACCCAGTGACAGCAAATGTAGATGTAAGTGACACTACTGGATAATAATTTCACGGCAATCATATGAGCATATTGCATTTTTTTCGCTATCTACATGGGTGGGTAATGACGCATTTTTGCAGTTGAGTCTGTTGAACATCACATGGCGAAGAAGGAGTTTTGCATAATAATTTTAAGAGTTCAGTGATTGCATAATAATCCCTAACAGGGGGAAGGTCAACAAGCCATTTGACTTAATAGGATTTTAATTTTTACATCAGGCATATTTGCATACCACTGGTTTGTTAAACTGTTTCTACTAAGTGTTGTCTGGAAGTTGAGCCTGCAGCATGACCGTGCATACTCGATCTTTGGTTGGAATAAATTGAGGAAATATGCCCATGAGTTTGGGGATGTTGGATTAAAAACTTGGAAGTGTGTGAGCAGGTGGATGCGAGGAAAGAGACATTAGGATTGTAGTTGAAATGTTGGAGTCGTACATTATCTTTAGCTGCTCAGCTGCAGAGGCTTTTGCAGGTTTTCTCAGCTCTTGTTTTGTCGTCCACCTCACTGCACTCACCTTCATTGTCTAAAATGATCCACGGCCATGCCCTGAGGGTGTGTGAGAGTGTGTGCGTCTGTGAGTATGAATGAGGTGATGTTCTCTTTCATGCACACACACACACACTGTTCACACACAGTCAGCCAGATAGGACCCAGAATAGAGCAGTAACAAAATCAACAAAAGCTGTGAGAGTTTCTTTCATTTGTTACTCTGTGCTCTGTGAGTTGTTCACTCCGGGTTTGGAAACTAGGAGCACATTTCCAAACTTGTTTTTGAGCGTGACACAGAGACAGGCAGGCACGGATATCCGATGACATAGAGGTCAAACCTAATTTAGAGGAGCAGTGTTTGTTTTGGCAGGAATTATCAGAACGGACTTGATAGAAATGGAACACAATATTTTTAAGTATTGAGTTTACAAGTTAGGGGTTCTCAGAGATCACCATGGATGTAGAAAACCACTGATCTTGTATTTAGTGTGGTAGATCCTCAGTCTTGTGAAGGACTTAACATGGATCTGCTGTCAGACATAACTCACAGTCTTGACTTGTTCATGTCTGCCTTCAGTTTTGGTGAAGTTTTGCACAGATTTTTGGTCGGGTAGATAGACCACCTTTTGAATAACTTTGGTGCTTTTTCAAAGACTTTTTTGACACTCATCTGCAGACTCAGTTTCTTTGCAGCTCTCCTTGTTGGCAGATGAATCGTGTCAGACATTCACTTGAGCTGCTCTGAGTCACATATTCTCGAAACATCGGCCAAGACTACGATGTGCTTTCAACTCTGGGATAATGAGAGCGTGATGGCGAGCAAAGAGGGGTTACTCTTGTTGATGCACTTGAATAAAAGAGAAACCTTGGTAGATACTGAATGTAAAAGAACACGAAATAAAATAGATGTCTGTGGTGTAGATAGTTTGTATTCAGATGAATAAGAGTTATGAAGAGTTACCTGTAGGCCTTTAGTGGAGACGTGGGTTACACGTCAAAGCCATAGGAGTTATTCAGCATCTCACCTTGACATTAATGGTAAAAGGAGGAGCTGCATCTCTTTGTAAGGCTTGAGTTAAATTCTAGGTCAGCAGCAAACAGTAACTACAGACAGTTCCTCACTCTTACTATGGATCTCTGAGCACGCTGGGAGACAGAAAACATCTTGACACGCTTCTTTTCCTGCAGCACGCTGTACCGAGCCACAGGGTGCCTTATTAGCAGCTTTTTGGGAGAAGTTGTATCAAAAAGTACAATTCAATTATTGACAAGCAGGGACTGGCTTAAACGCATCAATGCTTGGAATAAAAGTCAAGCTGACAGTGAAAAGTTTGGTGTTCAATGCAGACGTAGTCTAAAGCCAAAGTTCCCAAACTTTGAACAGTGCGGTGTCTCGCATGATCCAAATCTAGAAAAATACACCACAAACAACCATAAACTCATGTACATTTATGAAACATGTTTATACAGTGAGTTCAAAGCTTTATTTAATTAATTAAGAAGGCCCCACAACCCAATGAGAACTGGCTGCTCTTGGGATTGGCTCCTATTGGCCAGCATAAGTTGTGGACAGATTTAAATACACAAGCTGGATATGTTTGCTTAGGCACTAAAATATTTTCTATTTCTAAATGTACATTTTCAAGATATGTTTTTTTTCTTTCTCTGGTAAAATGGTTGATCTGTAGTCATCTTTGTTCAATTTGATTTCAACAAAAACACATATTAGTGGAACCATACTGGTATCTGTTGAAGTTTTATTAAGTTAATCAGACACTGTAATGTGTTGTTTCATGATTGTTTTGCAGTCTTGATAGTCCAATTATACCTGAAATCATAGGTCAAGTGTCAAATATCATATCCCATCTGCTTGTATTGTGGTGGATAGCATTGTGAGTCGTCTGGCAACCCCACTTCGATATTGAGGTCTTAAGACGATTGTCAAATTTCATAAGACTAGATTTTATTTGAAATGCTGACCTCAATCCTAATATCTGACATTGATGGACAACTGATAAGCCATTTGATTAAAGCATATTACCAAATAAAACACAAATACTCAAGGCTCCTAATTGCTGCATTGGCCTCATGTCATTGAACATGAAAGATGAACGGTTGCCAGGGTCAGCTAAAGCTTGGACAAACATATGTGGCTCATAATACACTCCTGTCACAGCTAAACTAACAAGCAACATACAAATCTAACCATTCAAAGGCAGCTGAAGCTCATGCTTTAAAGCTGCTTACTTTTCCACAGACTAATTAGTTTTGAGATGTCTATCCAAAGTGATGTCCCAAAGACTGCTAGACTCACCTTTACATTTTTAACAGCTTTGGTAAAGCCAATGTTTATGAATTCCTCTTCCAAATATTATTTTAAAATCAAGTGAGCTACAGAAGTCTCAGGAAGCAGGGCGACATTCGTCTCACGGGCTGTGTACTGATTGTCCACACTGTCTGACCAGCGTGTGCAGCCAAGTTGGAGGGAATGCAGGTGTCGCTGCAGGGTCACAGGAGGAGAGAGAGAGAGGGGCGAGTGGCAGCCACTTACACAGTCTATGACACTCTTAATTAATTAATGAGGAAAATAAATCCACTCAGTTTTTAGGCAATTTACTCTGCCAGTTGGCGACCCAATAAAAAACTGGCTGGTCACCCGGTCTGGGTTGCAGCCCAAGGTTTGGAGAGGCTGGCCCAAAGAGCTTTACTTGTTATGTGGACTGAATCAATTAGAGCTTGAAGAAAAACATGCTGGAGTGACTGCAAGGTTACCGCTACAGCATGACTCCTCAGATTAGTCTCAGTTCTCTGATGATCTTGTTTAGTGACAACCATGGTCTCTAAACCCTTGAAGCATGAGAGATTAAATTACTTCTAAATTATTGATACATATTGTTAAATTGTCTCTGATCCAGAATTTGACTTTCATCTCAAAAGACTGGAATTATGACTGAAAGCTTGAAAAGGTTTTTGCTCTAACTAGCTGACAGAAAAGGCAGAAATCACTCTTAACTCACAAAAGAGCTGAATAGGTGTCACTGTTCTTTTCAACTCAATAAAAGTTTCCACTTGAGCTGTCGAGGTTCACTTTGGCAAAAAATGGTTGATATACAAGAAAACCAGTGACCATGATTTGATGTTTGAGTGTAGTCAAGGGAGTGAGTGGTTAGAAAAAGCCAAACTGTCAACAACCTCAAACAGTCTGTATCCGAGACACCTCATCAGCCAGTAAATGATTTGGGTCACTATTTCTTTTCTCGTAAGATGAGCCACTTTTGTTACTGATCAGGGCTGTAGAGACCAAAAAAGCTTTAAGGGCCTCAGGAAGAATGCTGCTCACAAATAACTCCCGTGGGCGTAGGCGATCAAGTGGAGGATGACGAAAAGGAAAAAAAAGAAAATTGATAACATATTAGAAGACATTCCTATCATCACTACGGGCCTCTGTGTTTTCGGTGGAGAAACGCCAACACCAAATCTGGATCCATTGCGATGTATGAGTAATAGTGAACCTGCAGAGAAGCCAAGAATGCTGGGAACCAATACCTGCCATCTAAAGCTGACATATGAATAATATCACATCAGATTTTTAGGTGTGTAAAAATACTGATGCACTGACATTTTGACTGCCTTTTGGTGTGACTGATTAACTTTGAAATACTTGCAGTGGTTTTGCATCCATCTACCACTAAAAGCACCCAAACACCTGAAGATACAATATTGGAGAGGGATGGGAGGAAAAATCGATACAACATAGTATCTTGATATTTTGTCTGGTGAAAAATGTCTCATTTACCAACTATCATTTTTTTAAATCAATTACTAGTATGAAGTTAAATCTGTGATAATGGAAAAATAAAATAAATTGTTTGTTCAGTGAGGTGAGTGACATCATAGAGCATCAGATAGTTAGTACAACAAATATATGTAAGGTTTGCAAGATGTACTACATGAAAAAGACAAAAAAGACAAACGTAAAGGAAAGTGAAACAGTTGAAAAAATTGTATAAATTGCAATATATTGTATCACAATACTCACTGTATTGCAAAATGCTAAACATCACAATAATATTGTATTGTGGCCCAAGTATTGTGATAAAATTGTACCGTGGGACCACTGGTGATTCCCCACCCCAACTATTGGACATTATAAAAACGGGCCTATTGGGAAGTGACTCACATGTAGCCAACCTCAAGTGGGGACTGCAGATTTTGGTGCTTCCCCCAGCAGCTCGAGAGATTGCCCTTGATAGAGACCTTAAAAAAAATGTAGTCTTTATTTGACAAAAAGGGCTCAGTTTAATCTGTGATAAAAACAGGATGGATAAATTGGGTTAACTTCATCTACTGTCAAACTGGACATGTCTGGTGTGGTTTGCATTAGCAGCGGCTCCTTTTCCGCTCTTGGAGACGACGAGGCTGGATATCTCATTAGATCACACAGCAGAACACTAACCCGCTGGCCGCTCTGGTGGGCCAATAAGGTGCTCAGTAAAGCAGGTCGTGTGCCACTCAACTCTCATCACAGATGCTGCACAACACTGTCAGTCCATTAATGGGAGACAGCAGCATGTTCAGTGATTAGGCTGGGTAATGGTGAGTGACTGTCTCTGGAGACTTGTGATGGTTTGTTAGGGTGTTGTCTGTGGGGCTCTGACAAACCCTAATCCGCCGTTTGCTGCATATTTACAATGAGGAATGATCCGAACAATGCTGTGAACATGTCCATCCTCACAAACAGACAGGAGCCGGACAGTCTCTCATTTCTCTCATGTGAAGCTGGTTTGTAGGGATTAGGGAGAGATGGTGATTCATTTCCTGACTTTTGGCACAGCCACTCTGGATTCTCCTGAGGCAGGAGTCTGAGCCTGTATTATACTGGGGATGCTCACAGATCCCAGCTGCTAATGAAATAAGAGCTCCTCCAGGCTTATACTCCAGACTGCTGAGAGGCTGTATACAGGCACAAGTATGATGACTTCAACTTCCCATGAATGTAGTTTGAAGGCTGTAGAGGATGCCCTTTAAGACATTTTCTGAATCATTTATTCAAGCCAATCTTTATACAACCAGGTAAAACTGGAAATGATGTTTGATATATTAGAAACATGAATATTTTGAAGTTGAAGGTTGTACTTCTGTACT